GTTATGTCCAAAGTCCAGCGGGTCCTCCTCGTTACTACTCATTGGCAAATCGGACTATACCGGGATCTACCAGTAATGGAGTGACATTACCAGCAGAGGACACCAATACAAACACAGTAGGTCACTCAGAAACATACATGCCAAATGCTTATGTGTTTCTGTGATGCACTCAGTGCCATCTTTTCGTTGTGCTCTGTATGGATCATTTGTTTTCAAGACCATGGATCAAACCATTCATCGAGGGCGCTCAGCTCCTTTGAACCAAAACAGATCTTTCTCTTCAAACATAAACCAAACGCAAAACAACCCACTGGTCCGTAAAGAAGACTCTGTGTTGTCTTCTGGACTATGCATCACATCAGCCCCTCTGGTCAGTTCATGATAATTATTTAAATATTAGAATTACGTAAAATTATATATGTATATATATGTGTATATATATATATATATATATATCACCATACCGTACTTATATATATATATATATATATATATATATATATATATATATATATATATATATATATTTTTTTTTTTTTTTTTTTTTTTTTTTTTTTACAGAATCAGCGCTCCCAAGTTCGTGACACCCAACCCCCTCCTCGTTTCAGCAAGAAAGTATTTCAGAATAACTGTAATGTCGCGGCAGCAGGAGACCCACGAGCTAAACTAGGAAGCTACTCTCAGGCATATGGTACTATAAACAGGACTGATCTGAACAATTTACTTAGAAGACGCTCCTATAACCCATAGCTAATGTGACCTAACCTTCTATTGGTTTGGGTTTATTGATTTAAAATATATTGGTGAGTTTTAAAAAGTTTATTGCAAAACATTCCTGTCAGAGAGAAGAAGTGTATGTCAAATATTATTTGTAAATTGCACACCACTGGACACTGTTTTATGTAACCTGCCACCAGGTTACTTTCGCTTCCTATTCTGGAATTTTCTGGAAATTAAAGTGGAAGTGGCCTGGTTTGTTTTGGAAATGAAACTTAAATGATTAAATGTAACTAAGCCTGTATGTTATGTTCGAAGTGTAAAGACATCACCATACCGTACTTATCAGACGGTCTTCTTTAAATGAATGTGAATTAAATGATCTAAATGTCGTCAGAAATGTAGTAATTCATATTGTGTATTTGTTTAAATATTTAAATGAATGTATTATGTGCAGATTTCGACTCCACATATAACTCGACATAACCCGCAGTGAAATATGAGTGTACAATATTCTTTAGTGTAAAACACTGCGTCATTGTGGTGAGGGATATTTTATGACATCGGTGAAGCTCTGGTCATGTGACAGCGCGTGTGTGTCGTCAGCACAGACCGAAGACGCGACGACACAGCGACGGGTAGTTTTTGTGAGCGTTTCTGTTATTCAGACACAATATTTTTGCTTCTAAAGAGCCTGTAACGAGGGGAATAAAGGTAGGTGTTAACGATTGTGATGTTGTTGTAAACACTAGATGCAATTGTCTCGGATTGAGCCATAGATTGTATTTATAAATGACGCTTTGGTGCTTTGGTTAGCAATGGTGGTGGGCATGTAAACGCACTGCCAAACCCCCGCTATCTCACCCTGTTTAGAGAAAGTCTCACATAATACACATCTAATTTAAGACACACAGTATAAAGTGTGTTGGCTCTTGATGAAAATAAATGGGATGTTGTTATAAACGAGTAATGACGGAGTCTGGGGGGGCGCGGCGTGGGGTCTTCGTCCTAAATAAATAACCGAGCCGTTATATTCACCATGGCGACACATACAAGTTACAACAACATGTTTTTCTTAATGTTATTACTGAGATAAGTTAGCTAGGCCATGTTTTTATTAGGAACGAGTCAGGTGATAAACCAATTGATTTTCGCAGAGGGTTGATGTAAGAGCTGACAGTGGCGCATTTCTGCCGCTGCTGCTGGGGCCTAGCTGGATGTGAGCCTATCCGCGGAGCTCAATGGAAAACTGCGGGCTTCACGGCTTTGTTTTGTTACAGCTACATAACAGGATCACACGGATTCATTTGAAGCCATTACTAGATATTCTGACCACCATGCTTATCTCGTAAGTCAATAAAAACGAGCCAATATTAATAAATAGTTCATTTTACCATGTTGCTCTAGTTGAATGTCAATATTCGATCTATTATTGGCGTTTAATTATGGACAGTTGTTTGCATGAACCATAGACTGTTTATATATAGACTTCTTTTCTATATACAGTCTATGGCATGAACACACCACAAGCCTGACAACAATAGTCTAATAATTATAGCCTAATATTTAAGTAATGTTTTATAAATTATGCTATATATTTACTATTTCCTACAAACTTAGAACAATTTAAGAACATTTTACACTTAAAGGCAAACGTAACATTTCTGGTGGAGATTATGCCACCTACTTGTTTCTGTCGAGTTTAAGCTGATGCCATGTGGAACATTCTTGGCAATGCAAAAACGGCTGTGGTGGTGCCATAGGCCATCTTACGAGTCAGATCTTGGGAGAGGCAGAATTCAGGTGGTCTAGCAGCAATAAAAAAAACTGTGATTAAATACATTCTCTAGCTGTGAAATATTACAGGCAAAGCAATGATATCTCCATGGAGAAGCAGAAGGAATACATGGAAGTGGATAATAAAGAAGGCCTTGGTCTCTGTTCTCTACTAGTTCTATTTGTTTTAACTAATTCTTGTTGGTTTTCTAGACAAACTTGTTCAGTTAGTTGTATGTGGTGTTGGCATAGCGCAGCACAATGACTAGCATCAGTTTGGCAGATACCGCTCTGTGTTGGGCTGCAGCATGAGAGCCAAACTTTTATTACTGAACTAAAACTGATAAACTAAAACACAAAACAGTATAAAATTATGCTAGCTTTTGAGCTTTTAAGAGGTTATAAAAAGTAGCATAGTAGTAATATTTTATCTTTTCCAGAATCCAAACTATCCAAGACTGCTATGGATCTTATCAGTAATGGAAGTTAATACATTTTTTCCCTTAGACTTTGGGGGAAAAAATTAATCAGATAATCAGTGAAATGGTAACGTAATAGCACAAGAAAAAAATGTATCAGAAACTTTATAAATGGTCATTATAATATTTAGCAAATTCTTATTTTTTTTTAGACTTAAAACATGTAGGGACATTAGTTACCACATAACTAGCCGTCTTTGTACCTTAATATTAGAAATTTTTGTAATGTCTATGTGAAAAATGAATGGAAAATTTTGTACCGGAACAACTGTAGGTTTGTGAGCCAGCGCATTTGAATCCAACCCCCACTGTGCTTGTGTTATGGTGCCACATACAAACTTGAATAGCTGTGGTCAGTGTTTTTCCTGGTATTTTTCAGCCATGCATGCCTTATGTTGTACATGGGTTTTCCAAGGCATTGTGCTGATCTAATTGTGTTAGCATAGCTCTGACTGTCCCCTGAATCCCTGACGTTAACCTAATTCCCCTCTGAGTGATGACTATCAGCAGAAGCAGAGACAGCCACTGACTTTATCCACAGGACCAGGCCCACTGTCCTAAGAGGATTTTAAAAGTTAATGCATGGATAGCTCTGCATCAAACTCAAAAACAAATGTCACTTTTTTCTTCTCATGATTGCTAAAAAACTGCTAGATTGTACTGCTTGGTTATCTATTGGTCTATCAGTCTCACTTGGTTGGTTTGGCTAACAACTCTGGTTGCTGTGGTCCAAGACAAGAAAAATATCTGATGAAGACTTTTTTTGCCGAAACGTTATTTTGTTAATAAAAAAGTATTTGGACATCGGCCAACCGAGTGTGCTATGCATTTTTTCACCCTGGTTTAACAACTCTGTCATCACACTTTAACCTTACAGACCATGCTAGTAGAGTGTCACATGAAAACACAGATTGTTATCAGACGAAACAGGAAAGAGAAGCAGTGTTTTATAATGACAGTGTTACAAGAGTGTGAATAACTGCAAGCCTGTGTTTGATATCTATACTTGGGGACAATAAGTTCCTATAATGAAGTTGAACTGTGCAATTCAATGACTATTCTCTCTCAGCATTGGGAAATTAATCAGCCTCAGTTACTGTACATCCATAGTCATTACTGTTTCACATTGGCATCTTTTTTCAGTTAGATAATTTGGAGAAGTCTTGTGAACAATATTTCTGAGGATTATTGAGAAGTCATTTTTTTACTTACAGGTAGAGCTTTATATATAGGGCATTTGGTATATTGCTCTCAGTTCTCTCAGATCTCTCAGTTCATTGTAGTTTACAAAAAATGTAAAATAATCTACTCATGTTATAGATAGAAAAATAGTATAGTTTAATACTAAGTCAATACAATACTGTTTACTGAGCACAGATTGTCTTTGCATAATCCAATGTAATTGTTGTGATGTTGATTTGATGTGTTTTCTTTTTCTTTCTTTATAGATTGACGCTGCTGCTAAATAAATATCCCTTCACATCATGTCCCAGGACAAGAGTGGATACCCAGTAATGGGTGAGACCAACCCACTCCATAACAATGTCTATGGTCCACCTCCTCAACCAGGCTTTGGTATGCCCCCTCCAAACTACAACCAAGCCCCAGGTCCGTACCCTCCAGCACCTGGTTTCGGACAGCCAGGGTTTGCTCAGGGTGCTCCTGGCTTTGCCCCTGGTCCCTACCCACAGATGCCTTATCCTCAGATGCCGTACCCCCAGGGACCATACCCTCAGGGGCCGTATCAGCAAGGACCGGCACAGCCGGGTTTTCCTGCAGATCCCAACGGTAAGTAACTTTGTGGTGCAAAAATATATGATACTGTCTCATTGTTTAACCCAAACATAAAGTAAACCATGGCTTTATCTATGTAAATAAAATAAACAAAAATTATGAATTTTTTTCAGCTATGGGTAGCCCAGGCTATGGTGATGGACCACCATCTTACTACGACAATGATGAATTCACCAATTCTGGGTTTGAAGATAAGACAGTTCGACAAGCCTTCATCAGAAAGGTGTATATATAGAGACTGTACAAGTATTTTGAGTCAAAGTTTCCCAGTAATAACAAAGTCTTCTGTTTGTATCAGGTCTTCATGGTACTCACCGTACAGCTGCTGGTCACATTCTCTTTTGTTGCTGTGTTCACTTTTGTCGATGATGCCAAGTACTTTGTACGAAGTAATCCATGGACATACTATGTATCCTATGCAGTTTTCTTTGTGGCTTTAATCGTCCTGAGTTGCTGTGGTGACTTCCGCCGCAAACACCCTTGGAATCTGGTTGCACTGGTAAAAATAAAGATGATCTTGGTTTAGTTTAATATAATATTTTTTACTTTTCTAATAATTTTTTTCTGTATTCTATAGTCTATCCTGACCTTGAGCCTCTCCTATATGGTGGGAATGATTGCTAGCTTTTATGACACAGAGACGGTGATCATTGCAGTGGGGATCACGGCTGTGGTCTGCTTCACTGTCGTTCTCTTCTCCCTACAGGTCAGTCTTTTTTCATTATCTTTCCAATCCATGCTTTTTATTGTCTAAAACTTAAAAATCTTCTTGTTCTCTTAATTCAGAGCAAGTATGACTTCACTTCCTGCCGGGGTGTGCTGTTTGTGTGCCTGATAGTCCTGATGCTTTTTGCTATCCTCTGTATCTTCATTCGTCACAAGATCTTGCACATTGTCTATGCCTCTCTGGGGGCTCTGCTCTTCACTTGCGTAAGTTACCACTGTATTTTCAGAATGTAAGATTGTTCATAACTGTACCTATTCTACTAATCTACATTTTGTTTACGTTTGTTAGTTTTTGGCTGTGGACACTCAGTTGCTACTGGGAAACAAGAAGCTTGCATTAAGCCCTGAGGAATACATTTTTGCTGCTCTCAATCTCTACACTGACATTGTCAACATTTTCCTCTACATCCTAGCTATTGTGGGACGTTCTCGTGAATAAGTGGTACCTTGAAGAAAGAAGAGGGCTTGAGAAATGCATGTCCTTTGTCATAACCCATCTACTCATTGCTTGTTCTTTTTTGTCACACTGGTTTTAAAGAAATGAAACAAGTTGTAAAGAGCAACTGATAACATGCTTCTTGCAAGTATGAATACTTCACTGACCCTTTTATCTTTTACTAACATACAAGACTGTATTTTGTTCGCCAGTCTTTCAGTTCTCATTTACTCCCACATTTACTGAAGAAATAACACGAAGGAGTTTCATGTTAGATACACTGGGTTTTAGCTTACTTGTGTGACAAACTATCTGCTTGGCAGCACTGAGAACACAACTGTTTATTCTCCTGTCTGCCAGGTAACTTTGCTGTATATAGTTGTTAGTGTAATGCCATTTCCTTCTGGCTGCTGAAAAGCATGTAGAAGCAATTCTTGTGATCTTTTGCTTCATGGGAAAATGCACTCTGCCACTCTTAAAACACTGGTACATTAATAATAACTATATTAGGTGTACTGTACAGCATTTACAATTAAGATCACTGTTTATTTCCTAAGGATGTAGAAATATGTTTTATTTAGTTTTTATTTGTATTATTATTATTTAATCAACTTTCTTTTAGTCTGGTCAGTATCTGAAATTTGTGTGCTGTATTTATTCCCCCTCCCAATGTGAAATGGGCACTGGTATTAGTAAACTTGACTAACTTTTGATTGTGTTTTGATACAGTGAAGGAATTGTTCATTTTAAAGTTTGTAGCAGGGTTGCATCCAAAGTTCAATACAGGTAATATTTGGCTATAATATTGTTGGCTATATATTGTTACTGGTGGACAGTGGGCACACATCACCAGGTTGCTTATAAATCAAATTAAAGTGAGATGTAAAAATCTAGACTACATGATCTTGAATCCAAGTCACTTTTTAAACTTCTTTCTTTGTATTTGCCCTGCATGGTCCCACTCTGCATGTGCTTCAAATGCACAGTGTACAGGTTTTCTTTTCACAGCAACAGTCAGTTGTTTGGCAACCCTTTCTAACCTGTCTTGGCATTTTACTAATGTGAAGCCTATCATAAAGCTGTAGTGATTTGATGTGTATAGAGCAAGTATTGTTTGCATTGTATTTTTGCACTGTTGCTTTGGGGCTGTTCTCCTCTGTACCACTGACTGCTTTTCATTAAAACCAAGAAGATCATGAAATACCGGTGTTTTAGACCCATCTTCTCATCTAAGGATGTCAGAAGATGTTACGTCAGTGTGTGGCCTACCCCCATAAAAGATATATAGGCTATTACCAGGGCATGAATGTATTATTGTAGTCTATTTAAAATAAAGTCAACTTCTATAAGCTCAGCCCATGGATCTTTCAAAATACCTCGAGTCGGCTCAGCTCACGCGCCTCAGTGTTTGGCGCCAAAGCTGCCCATGGGCCTCCGCCCTGAAAAGTGTCTCTGTCGCCATTAATTTATAAAACCTGAACGGAATTGAAGAAAAGCAGTTGCTTCAACACACTTGGCCGAACAACTGCAAAAATGGCAGGTCAGAAATTAATACTCAGCAGTTACAATAAATATATCAGCTAAGCTAAAAGCTAACTTGGCTAAAGTGAGCGCTTATGCTACTTGTGGCTACTAGTAAAACGTTAATTGTTGAATCAAATGTTAACAGTGTCATTTCTAAACAGGGTTAAACATTGCACATGTTCTTATATCTAGCGCAAAAGGTTAGTGACTACAGCTATTACTGCTTAATTAGCAAATTGACTTACTACATAACGTTAGATGTTAAATGTTAAATATTAGATGCAGATAGGCATTTGCTGTATTTGACCAGGAATTGGAAGTGCTGAGCCTCCAGTTGAGCAACTGTTGGCGAAACTGAAGAGGCTTCAACAAGGTAATGTTTATTTCAACATTTAAAGGGGGTTTTCATGAAGAGGGGAGGGCCAGACGTCCTGGTAAATTGAAACAGATTAGATTAAGTTGTATTTATTGTTATACATTTTATAATCTTCTACAATCTGAGACATTAATCAAGGTTCTAAGCGTGGGACACTAGTACTGAGTTAAATGCATCAGTTTCTCTGTCTATGGCTTGGACCGGATCTGTCAGGTCTTCCACTTTATTTGTTTATATTTTATGTTGGAAAAACAGTTGTAGGCGTCAGCAAACACCATTCAGACAAAACATTTAATGTATAGTCGTTCTTATGTTGTACAGCATATAGTATGTTGTGTTGAAGTTATTTATTACATATGACATAGTACACTGAACAGTAACATCTTGACGAACAGTGGCTCTCTGTAACTTCCGCTTTTGCTCAGAACTAGCCTATGGGAGCGAGAGGAGCTAGCGCGTTTCATTTTTAGTTCAAGAAAAGCAAGAAGTAAAGTTAAACAGAGCTACTTTTAATGTGGCGAGTAACAGATCAAGTCTGCATATTGTACTTTTCGTGGTATTTACCAAATTCGAAATAGATAGATGTTTTTTTTGGCTAAATACTCAGCCAATGAGAGACGCATATGCAAATACACAAGGCTCGTTGCTCGGCTGTCTGTTAATTAATGGCATTATTAATTAATCATCTGTACAACATTAAATATACTGCAGTGATACTTGAGATGTTCTGTTTTGTACTTCATGTGAAAACATTAGTGTTAAACTAAACAACCGAACCCTGATTTAGACTCGTGTGTGTATAATTGAAAGTAGGTGCAATGGCGGAAGTTGAGCATCGTCAGTGAGGTATATCCTTACCTGTTACTCCTCCGGGAGTATCAGATCATGATGAATGGAGAGTTATGAGAGATGATTATAATCTCTCTCTTATGGAGAAAAGCAACACTCCATAGGAGCCATTCTGATTTAAGTTTGTTAATGTTACTTATTTCTTATATGCCAGAACTGTTATCCAATACAAATGATTTGTGTTGTTAAGAAAACTGGAAAGTTGGCCGGTGTGTGATTGCTTAATTGAGATAATTCAGTTTAATGGTTCGAGTTGTACAATTTGTTGAGGTATTTAGTGCACAAAAAAGTAAAAATTGTTTGTACATGTAGAATCTGACTGGGATCAACATGAATGTCGCTTCTACTTAGGACATGTACATGATCAATACATTGGTGAATGTAATTCCAAAGGGGTGGGTAATATGCCAAATAAAGGCTCAATATTTTAATTTTATCATGATATACTGTTTTATTACATTTTGAGTTAAATATAAAAGGTGATCTACTTATTCTGAGAGCTCAACACCTCACTGTTTGTAAAAGTGTATAGCAGGCAGCATTTAATAGTTACACCACTAACACGTGAGTTTAAAGCACTTTCTCTGTTCCTCGTTATACATTTAATGATTCAGAATGGCTCAAACAGAGTGCTGCTGCTCTGGTTTAGAGTGAGCTAATGATCATACATCATATTATGCTATTCATCACGATCTAATACGTCTGAATTGTAGTAACAGGTAAGGATGAGTTTTATTGATGTAACACAAAGCCATGGTCAAAGCTGGAATGGTCGGTACAAGTGTTAATCAGATTCATGGTGGAAACATGGGGGGATGCCAAAGATGTTTGTAAGAAGGCCTTAAGAACAAAGAATGTTTCATAAATGAGGCCCAATGTGATTATGAATTGGCATGCTGTCTGTCACACTATTGAGGTTTAACTATGTTGCACTGTGTTAAGATAAGAGCGCCTTAGGAGAGGAAATCCAAGAGATCCAAGCTATCAAAGAATCTCTGCAGAAGGAATTTGAAACAGGTAAGGACAATTCTTCAACGTTAATATCAAATGCGCAGCTTAAGTGCTTCCATAATAACAATAAATCACATTAGATAGAGATGTGTTAGGATATGTTTTATATGGATTTTGATTGTATCATTGCTGCAGTGCAAGCAGAGTCTCTTCAACTGGAGGTGATTCATAAAGAAAAAGAAGGTGTGTATTTTTTTTTTATTAATTTTTGCACTGTTTTCATCATTCAACAAATATATGTAAATGTAGAAAAAATATGTGTTTACCATAACTGTTTCCTGCAGAACTGTGCCAGAAGCTGCAGTATCTGTGTGAAGAGTCGGAGCAGGACTTTGCCAGGTCAGCTCCCAACTATCTTGTGCTTTACCTTGTTGTCCAGCAGGGGGCAGTAAGCAGTTGTGTTTGTGATTTAAAGTTTTTTAAGGTATACATTTTATTAACATTTGCAGACAATTGAAGCATAATAAGTCAACTGAAGATCTGTCAGAGCAATACAAATGTGAAATTCAGGCTATCAAGTTGAAGCATCGGAAGCTACGGTACAACAATTTAACTATGTACATATGTGTATTTGCCCTTAGTTTTTAAAAAGCTATCTCTTTTTTTACAGAATGAAATTTGAAAACCATCTGTACCAGTTGATTGAGCAGAAAAAGAACCTGTATTCTGTTTTTGTTTGTGTTCAATACTTAATTATAATATGGCTACTATTTAAATTGTATATTTGTTTTTTTTAAATATATAACTATATACTTTGCAATTTTCTTCAAACAGATGCCAGACAGAATTCCAGCTGAAATTGAAAATGCTGAGAATACAAAAAGTCAACTGTCAAATGCTGGTAAGTACCAGTGTACCTAATTTATTACATCCACAGAATATTGCTATATCAAATGTTATTGTATTGTTTTTATAATTTTAGAAAAACTGAAGGCAACCCAGGTAAACTCACTGGAAGAAGAGATAGAAAAATGGAAGCAGGAGAAACAAGACCCTCAATCTGTTGTAGTACAAGAAGAGTAGGGCTGTGAACCCAGTTTATGAACAAAACCAAAGTTTTTATTAGAATATTAGTTTGTTCATGAATTTGTATTTGTTGTGGCATTGGAACAACTTTATTACATGTTATGTACTTAATTTTGCAAAAAATAGTATTTAAATATGTAAATCAAATGCTATGTAATTTCATTGTTTAAATCAAAAAAAATAAAATAAAGCACTTAGACATGAAACGTGTTGTGTACTCAGACACAAAACATTCTGTTGACTAGTTTTTAATAAAAATTTCTCCATACAGAGTAACACTTAGAACATTATTTAAAAAAAAAAAACACTCACTGAGGTACAAAGAAGGTAAGGCACTTTGATGGCATCTTGGGAATTATGTTCCTTTCATAATAATACTTTCCCTTAAGATGTTTTTAAAAGATGGTGCAATCTTAAATAAACACATTTTCCCTCAGCAATTCAATCGCCACTCATATCTTTTCTAACAAAGCTAACAGCTACAATATATAAAACAAACGGCAGCATCATCATAAAAACTGAAGCAACAAATTAATGCATTACTCTGTGGGACTAAAAAGTGTACACTTTTTTACTGAGCAATTTTTAGCATGTAAGTATTATAAAGAGAAAGATGGTACATTTTCAGTCATGAAAAAACATCTATTGCTGCTTTATTTACATATTTATATATAACAGTAATGCTTATCCTGATAGGCCTACAATCTTAATTTATAAATCACCAACTCCTTACTCTCACCTGATTTTAGTCAAATATATTCCACTGGTTATACATCCACATTTTGACCTTCATTTATATATGTTGCTAGCGTTACTAGATGTAGTCTGTGTAATCCTCTAATCAACCTTTTTTTGCTATTCTAGATGTTTTTTGCCATTGTGCGTCTGGTCTGATGGCACAGTGTTTGATTTACCCATTTAGTCAAATGCCATGCATTGTTTTAACCATTTGTTTGCCATAACAGATAAATGTACAAACAGGCACATTCTAACTGACTGTTTTTTTTAAAGAGCAGTCTATTCAAGTGTACTTTTATAAATATCCAGGAGTGGCTGCCAAGCCACAGAGGTACTTTAGAGATTGTCGTTGGCACAAATGGGCAATGGGTCATTTTGATCATCTTGCATAAATACTTCCCAAAAAGAGGTCGTTCTTCCATCTTTCGTTATCCCAGGTTATTCCCCATCTGTTAATAGAACAACAGGAATATTTGTGAATTCAACAGTGAGATGGTAATGTTCATGTACCGATTTACTTCTTTGAATTATAATTACATAATTTCTTTGTTCATTACACAAGATATCTAAAGGCATTGTAAAAAGTGCATGGAAATAATAAGCATCAAATGTACTACAAACATTTATTATCTCATTGTTTTCATACAGATTGAAACATCTCATTTTAGTTATTCTTTCTTGAATATATCTATACCTTATATATAGGTAAAAAAAAAGAAAAGAAAAATGTAGGGCTAATATAAAATTCCTGCATCTAACCTCCTAAATTCATACATTGCGAACCAGTGTTACAAAGATGCCTAGTGTGTACTCAGCCCCACTGTATCACATCCTGTTCTGAATTGTTTTCTATGTACATATTAAGAAACAATCTCATCAGTCTTCACTGAAAAGATTTTTACTACATATTATATAATAATCTATTTTATTATATATCTTTCCCTTCAACATTGCAAACATCCTCTTTGCTGTGATAGACTACCTCAAAGCGGCTGTAGACCTTCTTCTCTTTCCTCAAGCTTTCTATTCGCTTCAGCAAGCCTTCCCGCTCCTGGTTGTTGCTCTGTGGTCTCAAAAAACGATTTCGTCTGAGGGAGCCCTGTTTTTCCAGCCCTTTCTCAGCACTGTCGCTGTCTCCTCCAGATTCTTCTCCCCGCTCCTGACGATTCTTTTGGCTGTTTGCTGAAATCTGCTCTAAAATTACTTTTGTGTCATCACGTAGGTTGCTGCTGGAAAGCACTGAGCTCCCAGGTGCCTGGTATCTAGAGGCCCCTGAAGGACCAGTATTAGACTTATTAATACTTGTGGTCCTTTCAGTAGTTGTAGCAATTGTTGTAGCAGCAGCATTATTAGAAGAAGTCAAGTCTTTGTTCAACTTTTTCCCTGGGTCTGATATTTCTGGTACTGTAGCCATGGTTTTGTCATCTACAGACAATTTTCTGTCTTTATCTTTGGGTCCTAAAATCCCCTTAAGCCTCTGAGTCTGCTTTTTAAGGAAATCAAGTGGTTTGCCTTCACTCTTTCCTTCCCCTAGAGTATTAATTGAAGTATTGGATCCCATAACTTTTTTGAGTCCATCCTTAGATTCATCACGGGTGAGAGTTGAAGAACTATGAGAGCGTATCTTTTTTAGTTCACTTTTCTCTGCATCTGTAGCGTCGGTTGTCAGTATCTCATCACCAGCTGAGATACGACGAGGATTCAGTCCTTTGAGTTTCAATGGATCCCTCTTAAAGATTTTGGGTGAAGGAAGAGGTTTTAGTGATTTAAAAATATCTTTCTTTTGACCCTCGGAGGCACTGTCTTCTTTGGGTGCTTGAGATGTATCTGTGTGCTTTTGGTAAGTTGGTGGCTTGACGGAGATTATTGGAGGTTTTGATGAGCTAAATGAAGATCTACGTGTCAACTCCGCAATTCTTGAAGATATGTCAAGCTTCTTTGGTTCAGCTTCTGCAGATGGGACAGAAGGAATGGGGGTCTTTAATGTTGTGGTAGAATGGACAGGTTTTTCCACAATGTCTGGCTTTTTTTCGGCTGGCTCTGGGATTTTTAATGACGAGTCAGTATCCATTTTTGAAGCTTTTCTCTTGGCAGCCAAATCATTGAAGTATTGAAGCCGACTGGCTGGGTCATTCATATTCAAAAGTGATGTATGCTGTGGTTTAAGGTCATCAATGGTAGTTTCAGTTTCTATGGTCGATCTCATTTCTGCCTCTTCTACAGGTTGATGAGGCTCATCTTTTGTTTTTTCGTGTGTCATTTGTACTGGATTTTCTTGTGCTGTTTCATTGCTGTTTAATTGTTTATCCTTACTTTCTGTCTCTGTATCTGTTACTTTCTCATCCGGTTTCTTTCTCCACTCAAAAGGCTCACGATTTCTTCTCTTTTCTAAAATTTGGGCTACTATTGAGGAGGTCCGAATTGTGTCCAATTCTTCATCCTGCTCTGTTGCAGGCTTAAGACCAAGACTTCCAGCATGCATCTCTGCTTTTGAAGATGAAAATATAAGTGAGGAGCGCAGACGGGAGCTCCGTTGAAGAAGTGGGTTAATACGAGAACGAAAAGATTCATGCTTTGACAACAAAAGCTCTGGAGCCTCTTTTACGTCAATATCCACTCCCATTTCTTTTGTTGATCCTCGCTCTATTTCTCGTTCAAAGACATATGGCTTCAGTTCACTCACAGAAGGAAGTAAATCCTTAGTTGTTTTGACAGTGTCTTTTGTGCTATCGGGTAAAATAGGCTTTCCAAAACGTGGTCTTGGAATTTCTGGCTTGATGGGAACACTAAGTGGTTCTTTAAATCCAAAGCGAGAACCAGAGGTCTCAATTGTCATGGGCTGTTGAGATGGTGGAACATCTTCAAAAGCATCAGGACCCATTGGCTGGTTTATTCCTTCTTCTCCACCATCCTCATATGTGCTCAGGTATGAATGAATTCTCCAACTCCTCATGCCTTGCTTAGCATCTGGGTCTTGGTCTTTGTCCTGATCAGATTGTTTTAGATACTGTTTCTTGTCAGGTTGGTGTAAATGTGTTGGTGAGCTCTGACAAGCATATGCATGGCCTATAGTTGGTCTCTTATTGGATGAACTTCCTTCATATCTCCCAGCCAAAGGAGGTGCATTGTGCCCATCAGGGCCTCCAAGATCCTCTGATGAAAAATAGTCCTGGTTGTAATTCCCTGGTTGGAGCTCCAAATCAGAGCGTAAGCTTGACTCTGAGTGTTGGTCAATAGCTAGCTGTGGAGGCCTGCCTCTAAGTCTGTCATAGTGTCCTTGGCCAGAACCAGGCCCAGGACCATCACTGTAGAATTGGCTTGAAATGGTCTGCTCCCTGTAAGACACAGATTGTAGTATTAGTAAAATAATGATATACTATGTAATAATTTGAACATTCATTTAAAATAAGACAGGTAAAGAGGAGCAACCTGTGAAAGTCTGTCTCATCCAAATTGTTCATAACTCTGTGTTTCATAAATTGTCTGGAGGATGTGTAGTTTTCTTGCGTTCCCTCTGCATAACTGTGCCTCTTAAAAACACTGGTTCCCATCTCCAACTGCCTGGATACAATGGACCTTCCTTGCTCCAAAAAGGACTGCTGCAGGCGAAATTGTTGCTGGGAATATTTCCCTATTGTTATTCCTGAACCAGGTTCAACAGTGTGACGAAAGGGATCATTTCTCCGGAAGGGGATTGCAAGGTTACGATCAGTGTCTCCGTAGGGAAATGCAGGGGGCAGCTCAGGCTGTCTGCGGAAACCTATGGGGTTTCTTAAAGACTGAGTCCTTTTTAATCCAAATTGGTGGCTTAAGAAGTTGCCAGTGCTGCTACAGTCAGATAACATAAGTGAATCTGATGATGGGTCCACCACCAATGGTTCTGACTGAGCAAACAGGATACGAAACTCTTCATCAAATGTTGTTACAAGTTCGCCAAGAAAGAGGTGGGCGATACTGCGATGGATCTTCTCATAGGACCACATGAAACTAAAATTGACAGAAAACAACAATAATTAACATTTTTGCTGCACTGTAAGTTGCAAGAATAAGTGTACTTACCTGTAGTTACCACAAAGTACAGCTCGGCAATCCACAAGTAAAAAGCGGTCTTTCACCTGTCCTTTAAAGGTTTTTCCAGTACGGGAATAGTATGTTATCCCTGCAACAGTCCTGACTCGCATCATCTGTTAAAACAAATAACAGACAAAAGTTTAGTACTGAAAATAAAATGTATAAGTCAAGATTATATAAAAACTTACAGGAATGAATTCCAAGTTTACTTTGCAATTATTAACCATAGAGACAAAATGTGAGGCATCCTGCTCATCAAGGAGAAT